GGGGGGGGGGGGGGGGGGGGGGGGGGGGGGGGGGGGGGGGGGGGGGGGGGGGGGGGGGGGGGGGGGGGGGGGGTGGACATCAGCCCCTTGCCAGGGGCTCTCCCTCCAGCTGTCGACTCTCCAGATCCTCTGCAGGGACCGTGGGCCTGGGGTCTGTCCCTGCCACGTTATTGGATCCCGGTAGTGATTTGGGGACACAGGAGGCAAGCGCCAAGGCTGCTGGAGGCCCCTGGGCCAGGACAAGGGGAGGCTCAGCAGACCCCTCTTCTGAAACACTGTCAGACCCCATAGATGTGCAGCCCCACACCCAGCCGTGGGCAGTGTCTCCGGGCCCTCCGTCCTTATCTGACTGCTGCTCCTGGACCTTGCCCATCCTCCAGCCGCCTCCTCCCAGCCCAGACAAGGCGGAGGCAGGAGAGATTTAGGGCCCCAGCTGTCAGAAGAAAACGTGAGAGGCCCCCAGCCCCTCTGCAGTGAGCCGCTCAGTGTCTGCTAAGGTGCCTTCCCTAAGCGGCTGGGTGGATTCAGAAGACTGCAAGAGGAAGTCCCTCCCAGGGGCCTCTCACGTTGAAGCCTCCTGGTCTAGCAAAATTGGAGGCTGCTTTGGATTCCTCGTCACACCATATGTGATTAAGTGAAAGCCTTTTCAAGTGGTTTGTTCTCTCTGGCTCGAAGCAGCATAATGAGACCGGCCCCACAGATTGAAACCTTGAGTAGTACCCAGCTGGCAGCATTTTTTATGTCTTATTTTTCTAAAACATAGCAACACAATGACCTTGAACTCGAAGTTAATCCGTCTTCTTTGTCCGTTGCCTCTTTCTGAGGTCCAGAAGCCAGCATGGTTGTGAGCTCACTCTGAGACTAGCTCCGTGTGATTCTGCCCCATGGCAGGTTCTTTGCTGACAACCAAACACCCAGGCCCCTCAAACGGCGGCCCCCAATTACTCAGCATAGTTCCCAGATGCCCGGACACCGCAGCCCAAGCCCTGAGCCTTTAGGAGCTCCTGATGCTGCGGGCCCTTTGCTCATCAGCCTGAGCTGAGCTCAGCCTGGAGGGAAGAGAAGCTGATGGCAGTGGGGTCTCCGGGGCTGGGGGGTCGGGGGGAGTCATCCTGTCTGCGCTGAGCCCCAGCTCCAGCTCACCAGGAGGAAGAGCCAAGGCCTGCCCTGGCAGCCTGGCTTCTCACCCCGTGTCCTCCTGTCCCCTTGCTTCCTGCCCCCCTCCCCCGACACTGACTTCCTTGCTTTGCTGGATCTGTCTCCCCAGACCTGCAGCATCACCTGTAAAGCCCTTCCTGACACCCCCCCCCGCCCGCTTCAACTTCCAAGCAGCCCCCTCCCTGCCTCTCTATCTCCCCTCCTGCTGTCCTTTTCTGAAGAGCTCTCAGGACCTACTGCAAACTCTGTATTTTATTTTATTTTACTTATTTATTTTATAAGATTTTTTAACATGGACCTTTTTTAAGTCTTTTTTTGGCCATGAGGCATGTGGGATCTCAGCTCCCCGACCAGGGATCAAACCTGCACCCCCTACAATGGAAGGCGAAGTCTTAACTACTGGACCGCCAGGGAAGTCCCAAACTCTGATTTTAATTACTCATCTTTGCTTGCTGTATGTTTTCTTCTCTGCTAAGTCCCCAGCACCGAGCAGAGTGCTCGCTAAGTATTTGCTGAATGAATGAAGAGCGAATTAATCCTGGTACAAACACTGTAACTGCTTCCTAAGGAAAGGGCTCAGCCCTGGCGGCCAGATTCTCCTGCAAAGTCAGGCTGTGGTGAGAGCAAACACCACCCCAGCTACAATGCCTGGGTTCTGAATTTGCATCCAGAACCTTCTTTTAGCCCAGAGAGAACTCGAACCTCAGAGGCTGCAGCCTTTTCCTCCCTGGAGCCCACATCAGCCTGTCACTCGGGACAGCTGCCAGCTGGAGGAGGTCCAGGTGGCCCCAGGGCAGGATGTGGAGGTGTTTGAGATCCCTGACACTGGAGTGACATAGAACAGAAGTGAAAAAGAATACATCCATGTGGGAGGGTGATTTGCTGGTCTATAGAACAGAAGTGAAAAAGAATACATCCGTGTGGGAGGGTGATTTGCTGGTCTTGCATTTCCCATACTCAATTCTTTATACATTAACTGAAATTAGATAAGACAGGCACTGAGCCTCTATCCCCGAGGCTGACCGGAGGCCATCTACCCTCCACTTGCTGGGCTGAAGGACCACATAAGGGCATTGCTTCCTAAGGGAACTCTCTCCACCTGGACACTCAGCCCGGGGAACGCTGTAGAGCTCTTTCCTTTTCTGCCCTTGCAGCCTTCACCTGTACATGCTGCCTCCTCTGGCCTGGCTTCCCTACATCACACGTCCCTGTTTTCCTCTGTCCACACCCCCTGGTGTGCCTTCTTCAGACCTCTAGAGCTGCCCTTTCATTTGTTCCAAAGCAGCTACGGGGTCTGCTCTGGGACTGGCAAACCCAGGTACACCGGTTCAG